CCGAGCCAGACGGCACCGCCCCGCCCCCGCTCCGCTCCGCGGCCGCCGCCGCCCGCCCCCGGCCGCACGGCGCACGCGCACTGCGCCCGCCGACTGCGCCAGCCTCACCGCCCGGGCCCGGCCCGACGGGCCGCACTGCGCACGCGCCGCAGGCAGCGGGTGGGGCCTGGCGGCAGGGCGGGGCCTAGAGGGCAGCTGGGCGCGGCCTGGAGCCCTGAGTGGATGCGGCGACGCTCACCTGGAAGCGGGGCGGGGCCCGGCCAGGCGGTGGGAGAAGGCCTGGGAGCCGGGCTTGGCTAGAGGCGGGACTGGGCCCGGCGCGACTCACCGGCGGCGAGGCAGGTGGGGCGGGACGGAGGCGGCAGGGCCCGGCGTCGGGGTGGGGCCCGGCGGGCGGCGGGCCGGGCCTGGAGCTGCGCAGCTGGCGGCGGGGAGAGCGGGGCGGGATGAAGCTGGGCCAGGGTCGGCGGCGGGGCGGGGAATGGCGCCACTCACCTGGCGGCCGGGAAGTTGGCGGGGGGGACGGCGCGGGACAGGGCCTGGCGGCGGGTCAGGGCGTGGAGTTGCTCACCTGGTGGCGGGGCTGGCGGCGAACAGAGCAGGGCGGGCTTTATGGCGCTCTCACCTGGCAGCGGGGCGGGTGGGGAGGAAGGGAGCGGGGCTGGGCCTCCTGGGCGCTGGGGTGGCGCCGCTCACCTGGCGGCTGGGCGTGCGGGACCGAGCAGGGCTGACCTGGCGCCGCTCTGGCCAGGTGGCGGCGTGGGCGGCGGGGGCGGGGCCGGGGGCGGGGCCTGGCGCGCGTCTCACCTGCTGGCGCGGGGGGCAGCTGGGCGGGGCCCGGGGCCGGGCCCCAGGTGCGCGCCGGGAAGGGGCGGTGTTCGGGGCGCGGAGCCCCGGAGCCAGGGGCGCCTCGGCTCGCGCCGGAAGTCAAGCATCCTGGGAAGTTTCGTTTTCGCTTGGTGGGAGGACTTTCACGGATGGACCGGCCCTTCTCATTCTGGGATTTAAGCCGCAAGACGTCCTGCCGCGCGCGCGCCGCCGGGGTGGATGAGGCCGGGTCCGGTGCTCGGGGCGTCCGCGGCCTGAGCTGTGGCCGTCTTGACGCAGCCCGCACGCCGGGCAGGGCGCCAGTCTCCAGCGCTGGCCCGCTTCCCGCGCGCGGACCCGCCGCCGCACTGCGCCGCCGCCCCGCGCCCCTGTCCGCGCGGGCCCGGGCGTCGCCCACCCACCTGCCCCGCCGCGCGGGGGAGGGGATCTCTGCAGACCCGCGCCCCTGTCCGCCGGGACCCGGGCCTCGCCCACCCATCTGTGACCTTGAGAGCCGGGCCCCCACCACGCACGAGAGAAGTCGACCAGCTCTCCTCCGAGATCGGGAGCCAGGCGTTCCCACGGTCACCCGTGAACTCGTTTGACTCGTTTCACCCAAGATGCCCCTTGAGTGTTTTGTTGGTTGTTTGCGGGAGGAAGGAAGCGAGAACAGTATTAACTCCTGCTGAGTTGAGTGCAGGACCTGAAGGCTGAACCCGGGGTCTAAACCAAGCCCCCGCACCCCCGCCTGGAGCTCTGTGCTCACCATTCACACCCCGGGAGCCAGGAGCTTTCCCCTCCCCCCGCCCCCAGCAGCAGGTCACAGCCGCCGTGGTTCCTCGAGTGCAGTCGCACTGCCGTGTCGTGGGAAAGCACCTCAGCCAGTGTTGTCAGGTCAGATGACAGGACTCCTGGAGAGCGCTCTAGGCTCTGGCCTGCAGCACAACTGGTGGTTAGCAATGCTCTGCGGGATCTTACTGGCAGCTTTCCTTTCCTCCCAAATAAGACTGATACGTGCCTGCTCCAGCCATTAAGGCTCATCTCAGGTGACACACTTGGCGTGCACCGGGACCTCACAGGCCAACTACAGAGCCCATTTAGACACAGACATAGAAGTGTGTCACTGTAGTTAGCGGTGAGGAAGCGCTGGAAAGTTGTGGTTTTGTGTTTAAGGTTTATGGCGCTGACAGTAATGGAGCAGATCAGGAACCAGGAGGGATAGGCCCCAGGCAGGGGCCAAGGAGGCAGCCGATCGGAACCTTCAGTGCTGTACGCCCCGTGTCTCCACCTTGCCACTGTTGACATTTGAGGCTGAGTAATTCTTTTTTAAGGGGGATGTTTAGCAGCATCCTTGGCCTCTGCCCACTAGATGCCGGTAGCACGCACCTTCTCCGACATTATGACAGTCAAAATGGTCTCCAGACAAAGCCAAATCCCTTTTCCTATCCCTTCCATCCTGGAGAACCCCCGGGTTAAGTTTTGCCTCTAGTGATGATCACTGGGAGCTGTCAACAATGCACAGGCCGGGGTGTGAGCCAACCCTATGTCAGAAAGGGCCGCACTCGCTGCCTGCTAAGCAACCACATTCCTGCCAGGAGTATCTCCCCCTCAGAAACCTCGCTGCAACCCTAGCATGCTGAATGTCAAAAATGGGCTTTTACATCACCCAGGTAAATCTGCCTAAAATTTTTTCTAGTTAAAAGGGAAAAACATCAGACAAATCCATTGAGAGACTGTGCAAAACAGCTCCACTGTTTGATGACTTTTCAAAAAATGACTTTTCAAAAAGTCATTATCAAAAACAAAAAACAAAAAACGGAAAAGCTAGGGAATCAGGGCCAGACATAAGAGACCACAACCAAACCCATCACATGACCCCCGATTCCTATACCACTTTGAAGGAAAGAAGCTGTGAAAGAGCTTTGGGGGACAGTTGAAAGATTTTTATATGAATATTTCAGAGAGACTATTGCTGAATTACCATTAAATGTTTCAGTGTGGTGACATCTATCACATTGCCCTTGTTCTTAGGGGATGTGTCCTGAATTATTTGAAGTGAAGAGTCCTGGTGGCTACAACTTTTTTCCAAATGGTTCAGTAACAGATATATTTTATCTAGAGATAAAGCAAGTGTAACAAAATGTTAACAGTTTGTACATTCAAGTGATGGGTATATGTATGTTCATTGTCTAATTCAACTTTTCTGGAAAACTGAAATTTTTCAAAATAACAAGTTGGAAAAGTGGAACCCCAGTTACATCATCATGAATCTCTAGAATGGGATGCTCAGTAAGCAGTCCCTGCCGTCTTCCAACTTGCTAACCAAGCATTTCCAGAAACTTAAAGATACAGTTTTTTTGTTTACAGTTTCTCAACCACACTTGACATCTGGAGATTAGGTCAGATGAGCCTACATATATTTTTCCTCCTGCAGGAACTTTATTGCTGGGAAATATAAATTGGCATGTTAATAGTTCCAACCTCTACTAGGCCTATGTCTCTCTCTCTCTCTTTTTTTTAAGATTTGATTTATTTACTTGAGAAAGAGAGATGGAGCAAGCATGGGGAGGGGCAGAGGGAGAGCGAATCTTAAGCAGGCTCCACACCCATTGCAGAGCC